GTTTTACCCTACAAAGAAGTTCACTAGTTACCTTGTCGAAGTGCATGAAGTGGTTGTTGAAATAAAAGCGAGTTACACATTTTTCTTTTAGAAATTAGGGAAGTGCTCCAAATTGGCTGATCTTTGCTCCAGTGATAGCATTTCTCAATGGAATGCTTGTAGATATTTTTTGAAAAAGACATACTTTCATCCACCCCGTCAAGATAATGTTTTAACAATGAGTGATTCAGTAAGTTTTTAAGAGAAACTCATTAATATAGAGAAGATAAATCTGTGGAGATGTTGCCCTTGTTATGTGATTTTGCTGCATTTTAAAAGCAAATGTATATATATATCTATCTATATATATATATATCTATCTATATATATATATCTATCTATATATATATATAAAAGCAAATGTATATATATCATCTATAAATACTTTGCATAACTGCTCCTTAATTTAAAAACAAACCTAATGTTTTATAATTTATTTTAAAATCTTCTAAATGAGGATTTCAGTGGATCTTGAACTAATTGCTAAAAATAAACACTGCAGCTATTTCTGATTAAAAAAAACCCAAAATACTAGTGATTTTTACACAAAGAAGATAACCAAGTGGCTGAATTTCAACAAAATGTGTAATTGATAGACAGGATTGAAAAACAAGTATCATGACTTCCTAAGTGCCTCCTTTGCTGGACTCATTCCATTGGATACAGATTTTTATTATGTATCTTTTTCAGTTATGTTAGCTGAAAAAAGCTGACTTTTTAACTTGACTCTCACATCACTAAATGTTAAAATAAGACTTTCATAGGAGTTCAGCATATTCAGTTATATTGTTTTTACTAAAAACAATCATCAATAACTTTATATAGAGCAAAAATTATACCTATTCATAACTTGAAAATGTTTTTAACATTTATTTCTTATTTAACCTAGCCTTAACATTTTTCTATTTATGTATTTATAACTGTATAAATTTTATCAGTATAATAGTACAGTAATAGATGCATATATATAACTATATTTTATAAATAACTTCATACTTCATACTTCCAGGGATACACAATTTTAAAATAATTTTTACTATTAGGGGTTTACTATTCAACTAGTTTAGAGTCCACTAAATTAATAAACTAGAATGAACAAAATAAAATGCTTTTCTTTTAGAGTAATAATTACACTGAAAAGTAAACAGTCCCTTAGCATCTATTATCATATAAACTCCAAGGGCTACATTATGACTTCCGTGGGTCCCAGGCATCGGGCCTCCACGGGCCTCTTCTTCCATAAAGATATTTAAAATTATATTTTATGACTGCATTGGACTAAAGATGACTATAGATATATCAATACTACTTGTTTGCTGTAAACTAAAAGTTCATTTTCTCCTCCCAGTTTTGTGGGCCCAGGTGCTGTGCCACGTGGATAACTTGGCCTTGGCACCCACACCCTAAGAGATGAAATAAAACTGCTCAGGTTTAGGTTTCAGTTTTGTAGCTGGTGGCATGTATGCAAAAACCCACCCACAAGGACGGGGTGTACTGAGGAAGGACTAGTGCCCCCGGATCATGGGTTTTCTGCAGTTATCCCTCAAAGATAACTTTTTCCTGTTTGAAAGATGGTGGATTTCCCAGAACAGCAGTCAGGATAAGAGAAAGGAGAGAAGAGGGACCTGAAGCTACACCGAGCAGCAGGGGGACAATGGAGGCAGAGTACGTGCAGGTGCTACCAGAGTCAGGGAAGCAGTCTCTGACTCCATTAAAGCCGGCACTCCTCCCGTGGCCTGCAGGTCTGAGCCACCCCATCGCCCCCCGTCTCATCCCCTTCCCACTGCTCCTCCGCCATGCTCCCATCACACTGGCCTTCTTAAGCTCCTCAGACACAAACAGGCCAAGCTCACTGCAGCCTAAAGGCCCCTGCAGGGACGCTCTTTCCCGGCATCGGGGCGAGGCTGCTCCCTGGATGGAACGAGCCTCTGCTTTCACGTCACCTCCCAGACAGCCTTCCCTTGCCGCACCTTCCCTCAATACTGTTAGCAACACACCGTTTCAGGTTCTTCATAGCACTTGCCTTGGTCATTTATTCCCTTGTTTATGGTCTATCACCCCAACTGGAATAGATGCTCCAAGATTACAGAGGGCAAGTCTGTCTGGATCACCTGTAGCTCCTCAGTGCACAGAATGGTGCCTGGTATTCAGGAAACACTTATCCAATGAATAAATTGAGCTCAATTTAAAAACCACCCCAATTCCTCCCTCCCCTCTTTCAGTCAAGTTCTGCTCAATTCATGGCCCTGTCTATGATGTCACCTTTCCTTTTTAGGAACATCAGATCTAACTCACCACCTAGTTTAACGTAATATATCTGAAAATTACAATCACCACAGGATACAGGATAAGGTAGTGCAACCAGGACTCAAGAGAAAAACCTACCCAAACATCTTAATTATTTATTTTTATTGGTGCTAATGCACTTCACATGAGTCTATAGCACAAAATTATTCACTAACTGAAACTCAATTGTCACATAAAACGTCTTTGTGTCCTCTATAACTGAGGTGATAGTTTGAGTAAAAACATAATACGTACAATACTCCCAATGATCACAGATCTAATTCTCAGAAGCAGATGCAGGAGCAGAGAATGGAATGCCTAACGTTAAAATGTGACCAGTGTCATTGCTAATTATCAGGAAAATGCAAATTAAAACCACAATGATATATCACCCCATACCAGTTAGGATAGCCAACATGGAAAAGACTAGAAACAACAAATGCTGGCGAGGATGCAGAGAAAGGGGAGCCCTCCTACACTGTTGGTGGGAATGTAAACTAGTTCAACCATTGTGAGAAGCAATATGGAGGTTCTTCAAAAAACTAAAAAATAGAAATACCGTTTGACCCAGGAATTCCACTCCTAGGAATTTACCCAAAGAAAACAAGTTCTCAGATTCAAAATGACATATGCATCCCTATGTTTATCGCAGCACTGTTTACAATAGCCATGATACGGAAGCAACCTAACTGTCCATCAGTAGATGAATGGATAAAGAAGATGTGGTACATATACACAGTGGAATATTACTCAGCCATAAGAAAGAAACAAATCCTCCCATTTGCAACAACATGGATGGAGCTAGAGGGTATTATGCTCAGTGAAATAAGTCATATACCAAATGATTTCCCTAATTTGTGGAATATAACAACAAAGCAAAACTGAAGAAACAAAATAGCAGCAGACTCACAGACTCCAAGAAGGGACTAGTGGTTACCAAAGGGGAGGGGTGGGAAGGGCAGGTGGGGAGGGAGGGAGAAGGGGATTGTGGGGTATTATAATTGGTACCCATAGTGTGTCTGGGGTTACAGGGAAGACAGACAAATAGGGACTCTGTGCCATCTTACTATACTGATGGACAGTGACTGCAATGGGGTAAGGGGGGACTTGGAAATAGGGGTGAATGTAATAACCACATTGTTTTTCCTGTGAAACCTTCATAAGAGTGTATATCAATGATACCTTAATAAAGATAAAAAAATAAAAACACACACACACACAAAAAAAATGTGCACAATATCATTTTCAGGACCTCTCTCTCCAGCCACTAGAGCTATTCCCAAGTAAAAAATGTTTTGAAGTGCTCTTTGCCTATTTCCAGTCTCCATGGGACAGCTGTGGTAAACCTATTGTCAAATGGTCACTAATTGGTAAGACTCAGCTCTAAAAAAACCCTGCGGAACATGATTTTTCAAGTTCCCAGACATGGATTTGAACTTCAGTCACCAGTCCCGCTGGAACCTCTTCAATTTTCTCTTTTCCCTGCTTGAAATACATTACCCATCCATAACTATCACAAGCCAAGCCTCCTGGAAGTGTTGATTGACTGCTAATGGTGCCCCCAGGACTGTGTCAGAGTCTCGGGCTATGGAGGTGAGGTGGGTAAAGCCATTCCTGTTCTTGGAAAACTTACAGTTCAGATAAGAGATAGAATTACTAGGCATAAAAAGGCATCGATGATGTTTAAGACTTGGTTTGGTGATCATTTGGCTAGATATATACGTGCGAAATCATCATATTGTACACTTGAAACTAATATAATGTTATATGCCAATTGTATCTCCATTTTTAAAAGAACAATGGTAAAATAAATCGATAAATTTAAAAAAAAAGCATAGAATCTTAGAGGACAAAATCCAGGTATGAGAAGCAGCACCCCAGCTGGTTCTCCACATTAGAGAGAAGGGCATTTCAGGCAATCGGATAAAGACATAAAGAAAAGATGAATCTGGCTTGTTTGTGGACTTTGAGGAGATGTGACTAAAATGGAGTCTGTTAGAAAAAAAAAAATGGCAAATGCGGTTAGTCAGCAAATGAGAACATGTCATCAAGACATCGGATGCTGGGCAGAAGCATCCAGATTTGTTTGAGTGGAAAACTTGGAATTATATTTACTCTCATCTTTCTCCCTGTGTCTCAAATTTGTAGAGAAAATGAAAGACTTATTTTTGCTCAATAATTCCTTCCTGGAAGTCTTCTATTTGTAGCAAAGGCAGTCAGAGCCCTCCGAAGGTATGTTAAGAAGAGTGGCTGAAACCTCAAGCTGGGAATTTTTGCATTTGTGTGTTTTTTCATAAGGCCCTTTTGCTATTTTTAAACTGAAATAATTTGGTTTGGAAGAATGAGAGAAATGATCTTTCATGAGAGGTGACTTTTCTGACAGCACATGGATTTTCCGTTTCAGCGGGTCTCAGGACACGTTGACTTCCTCAGCTATCATAAGCTGCTTTGGGTTTGTCTCAGGATCTGCAATAGGAATGTAATACATGCAGCTGGGTAATAGGTGCCCTAACTTTTAATATTTTTCTCAATTTAAAGCTTATTTCCATCACCCTGTGACCTAAATTATTGTCAAAGGAAAAAAGGACATTTGTGAGGCACGTATTATGGAGGAGTGTATTCATTAGGATAAACTAAGATAAACGTCTATAAAAAAATGAACTCTCAAATCCCAGTAGTTTAACAAAACACAAATGTATTCCCATGGTGTGGTGGCAGGAGGTTGCTTGTCCTAATAGTTGCCCAGAGACTCTGGCTGGCAGAGGCTTCATCACCTGCAGCTCCACCATCCAGAACCTACGGTCACCCTGGTCCTACCATCAGAAGTGGACATTGGCTCTTAGCTGCTTTGATGTGTTGGCCAGAAATAGTCACAAGACTCTGCCTCCTTGCAAGGGATCTGGGACATGGAGTCCTGTGAGTGTCCAGGGCGGGCAGGAGAGCCAGTGCTGGTGGGCACTGGTGAGGTGTGCCATGAGCACGCATGGGGCTCGCGCGCTTCATATGTTTTACTTAATCTTCACAGAAGGTTTAAGGAGTAATAATATCTCCATTTTTGCAGATGAGAAGACCGAAGTAGTGTAGTGAAGTACAACGAGATTTGGGTTGGAGGTCCTGGGCTGGCTCTTACTTCTGTTATGTACCAGTTGTGAGACAAGTCAGCTGCCATGCCTCCCCTTCCGCACAATTCAACCGTGCGCGCCGCGGTTGGATGGTTTTCCCGACCTCCTCTTAGTGTCAGGTGCCCCTCATCCGTCCTCCCGTAGCGCTCCGTGCTACTCTGCCATCACGACAGGTTTGCATCATAACTGCTGTTATCATGGTGAATTTCCTGAGGAGAAGGGCTGTTCGTATTCATAGTTTTACCCCTTGTGCCTCGTCCAGTTTTGGGCACCTGCTACGTGCTTAATATTTATTGAGGGAATAAATTCCGATCCTTAATTTTCTGGTCATCTACTGGGTTAAGACATTAGATGAAAAGCTGTTGATAAAGACACAAAGTAACTTGCCATATTCTAGAAAAGCATAGCCAGACATAAATATTTTTACAAATTCCTGTTTTGTTTTGTTTTGTTTTTTTATCTGTAACAAAATTACACAATATTATATGGTGGCAAACTACATAAAACTCTCAGGCATGTTGATTTACTATGGTATCAGTCCTAGGGCTGCCATAACAAAGTGCCACAAACTGGGTGGCTTGGAACAACAGAAATTTACTGTCTTACAGTTCTGGAGGCCAGCAGTCAGCAAGACTGGTTCTGTCTGAGGACTGTGAGGGGTGATCTGCCCTATGCCTCTCCTCCTGGCTGCTGGTGATTGGCACCCTTCCTGTGCCTTGGCTTGTAGATGCAATGTTACAATCTCTGCCCGCTTCTCACATGGCCCTTTCCCTGTGTGTTTCTCTCCTGTCTTCTCATAAAGTCACAGTCATACCATATCAGGACCCATTCCAATGACCTCATCTTAACCAACAAGATTACATCAGCAAAAACCCTGTTTTGAAATAAGGTCACATTCTCAGATACTGTGGGTTATGACTTCAACATATTTTTTTAGGATACATGGTTCACCCCATAACAACTACAGGTCACAGTATTAAAATAGTTGAGCCAACATTGATAAGATCAGTAGACTTCAAATAAAAATCTAGATTTCTACTCTTGAAAACTCAGCAGATTTTGAGAGTAACTGCCTTCCCACATGGCATCAGCCCCCTGGAACTAAGGGGTGTCTTCCGCTCTATACGGGGCCTGTGCTCTCCAGTTTGCCACATTCTCCGCCAATCACTATTGTCTCCCTCGCCAAGGTTCAATGTCACTTGAAGCCAGGGCCAAGTTTCATCTTCACAACTGAACATGAGTTATGACAGTATCAAAATGCCAGAATTCTTACACTCCACCCACTTCATCCACTACATTACCTCTCTGGCCGAGACGATTTATTATTTTACAACTCTTGTTTTTTAAAAAAGCAAAAACCATTAGCTCTACAGATAGAGACAAAGGTTTAGTGAATTCATTTTCTTGTGTAGTCTTTCTTTAAGACTCACAATATTACTTACTACCAGAAAGAAGTCATTAATGACAAACTGTTTCAGAATGACTTATTTAAGAGAGTCTGGAATATAATCAGATTGAACCCATGAGAAATGAAAAGGTAATGTCAAGGAAAAAATAAGGTCACAAAAGCAGCTGAAATGACGCTGGCAATAATTAAGAGACACAGAAAATGAACTGTATTATAGACCCACCCAAGGGCATGATTAAAAGATTCTGTATTCAGGGAAAAAAATGGCAATACTATTAAAAGTCACAACAGTAAACTTTTAAGGAATACACACAGAGAATTCATAAGCAAGAAAAGAAAATTGTTGAAGGGACTCATGAAATGAGGGTAAAACATTAAATCTTGTTTTTGGGGGTATAATGTTAACTTTTGTTTTATTTATTACTAAATAGAAAATAATACCTCTGTGCAGCATTCAGGGACAATGGACTTAACAAAAGGAAACAACAGATCTTTAGATGTAAATGGAAATGAATCTCTGTCCCTCAGTCATTAAATTTTACGTATTCAAAACACACTTCATTTTTCACTTGCCCCCCCAAATCCAAACCCGCTTCTCCTGCTAAGATTCCCTGAATTAAAAACCAGCCCTATTTTCCAGTCACCGAGTTACAGACGTCCCTGCGTGCCTCAACCACATGCCATCAGGGATCTGGTTCTGTTATTTTTTTTACCTCATAAAAATATCAGTAGAAATCTGTTTCTTTTCTCCCGTTTTCACTGACCCCACCTTGCGTAGGCCCACTCCACCACGCACCTTTTGCAAATTGAGCTTCCTGGACTACTGCGCTTCCTGAAAATTGGTCGCCCACCACATGCCTCCCTAAATTTGCTGCCTTTTCTTCCACACCCACACCGAGGCGAGGCCATTCACACTTCCGCGTCTAATATAAAATATTCCCTCCATTCAAATGCATTTAATACCTCCCTCTTCACCTTGTATTACTCACCCTTCAACCCCTTCTCACTCACTCTGTGGAGTCTTCCTGGATGACTTCGTGCCCTTTCTTCTGTGCTCCTCCCCCATCTCTGTTTATATCTCAGTGCAGTTGCTTCTCAAACTGTGCCCATTGGCCAGCCATCTCCACAGCCTGGAAGCTTCTGAGAAATGCAGGATTCCAGACTCCCCAAGGCCTGCTGAATCACAGCCTGCATTTTAAGGAGCTCCCCAGCTGATTCTTATGCACATAAAAGTTTTAGATATGTGGCTAAAGATAATATTATCAGAGGTTTGGAGAGCTATCTTTTATACTGAACTCTGAGCTCCTCTAGATAAGAACCACGTATTTCATTTTTTGAATCGCTTAACAAAGTGACCGTGTCTGCTGAGCTGTATGCAATTTACAGTATGTAAATGAGTGAAAGAGAAACAAGCGAATGGTTTAGTGGTCGCCCAAATAGGAGTGGCAAGCCCAGGACTCCCTGGGCACCTCCGTGTCAGATTCTTTCTACCGCCCGTGATGTGCCACTTTCAAAATGTCTTTCATTTCCATTTCTAAATCTCAGAGCTGTCAAATGACACTCTTAGTTACAAGGCTATTTAAAGTGGTAAAGAGGACACTAGAACACGATAGGACAGGAGCTGTACTCTGACACTTACTGAGGACCTTCTCACTGCGTCTTTTGGCCTCTGTCTGTTATAAGAACAAATGGGAAACACATTAACTGAACTTCTGTTCTCACAAGTTTCAAAGAGCATCTGTCATGACGAATAAAAATACATTTGTGCATCCCCAGTGTGTTTCAGTTCAGTCAGTCCTGGGTTACAGTCCAGTAAGGAGAGTTCAGTGAGGGAGAAGCCCAACTGAAAAACAACCAAAAAATAAGAAATAATTATAAATAAAAGCATGTTTCATCAATTTGTCAATGTGATGTTTTATGACACAACAATTTGTAGTTTGAAATATTAAGTGTATTTTTACAGTACATTTAAAAAAAATCCTTGGTGTATAATAGCTTCAGACTTCCATTTTGAATAAGACATATTTATACTGCAAATGCCACATTTACTTATGCATTTCCAGGATGCTTGAACATTTTGGGAGGGAAGCAAACAGGATATTTTTATAATTGGCGCCAACATGTGTTGCTCTGGTTTTCATTTTTGAATTAACAACCGTATTATTCCATAAGTGTCCTATTCACTCACGAAGGCAACCGTATTTATTGCATGTGCTCCATGAGCCAGGCACTGCCAGAGGCTCTGCCCTCAGACAGTTTTGCCTACGAGAATCTTACAGACTAAAGGGGAGACAGAGAAGCAAGCAGTTACCAGGGAGTCTTATGAAAGTGAATGTAAACATAGGTACTACACGGCATCGCGGCAGAAAGAGCACCGGGTCTAGGATTAGGAGACCAGAAACGTCTTTGCAATGAAAATGACCATAACGGTAAGTCCCAAAGAATATACACGGGCAAATTATGTGGGGTGGGGCCTTCCAGATAGGACAGTGGCATATGCAAAGTCCCAAATCCAAGAGAAAGAAGACGGTTTAAAATAGTTGCGAGCTGCTCAGTGTGACTAGCACAGGGCATTGCTGGTGCCAGGGAAGGAATGGCATGGAGGGCAATAGGGGTTAATGCCCGATGGGAAGGCAAGGGAAGGAAGGATCTTGTGGGGTGCTGAATGCCCTACAAAGGAATTTGGATGTCATTCTAAATAACAAGACTCATATATAATGCTGTTCCGGTGCTTACTAACAGCTCTGCATTGTGCTAAGTTTATGTCAGTCTTCACAGCTGCTCTAGGAACTGGTATGACTCCCAATTTAATAAAAGTGAAGCTGAGGCACAGAGATGAAACATAACGAACTTTACCAAAGTGGCACAGCTGTGTCATAATGGAGCTGGGCTCCTAATGGCAGCAGGAAGGGGCATGATGTAATTTCTCGGTTGTGAAGATCATCCTGGCTTGAACGTGAACAAAGAATTTGAGAAGACATTTCAGTAATCCAAGCAAAATACACTGAAGCGCTGAACAAAGTAGAGGCATTGAGGAAAAGAAGAAGCAGATGCACGGGGAGATGTTATGGGGCTGGGAGAGGACCTGGTGATGGGCTGTTTAGGTGGGAGACCAAGTCTTACCAGAGAGACTTCTCTGCACAGGACACGAGTCCAAGATTTTAGGACGTATACCAACCAATATGTATTTTCCATGACCATATTTCTAATTAAATTGACTGAAATAAATATGAACAAAGCTTGGATGACACATAAATTAATATGAGTAGTGACATCATTTAAATAAGGAAATGGAAAGATCTAGGTTTCCCTCTGTAAAAAATAACATATGTTTTCTAACCGTGGTGTTACTTCATTCTTATCTTATGCACTTATAATACAGTGCTCTCTCTCTCTCTCTCTCTTGCTCTCTCTCTCTCTTTTTTCCCTGCCAATTGTAATTCCTCAGCAGAACCTCATTTGTGACTTTTTATTCTCCCAAATCTGGCAGCAACTGAAATTTGAGGTGTTTCACTGCAAGTTTCGGTCTAGGCTTGATACCTCAGATTCCAGGTTGTGAGGATAATCTTTGATCCCACTCTTCTCTCTACCTTGTCTCTGGTTTTGCTACTTTGTGAGCCAGTGTGTACACATGGGCTTTACACCCGCAATCCCGCATGCCTGCCTTGCACCTGTCCATGAACCCTAACCTCGCTAGCTCAGGATTCCTATTACCTGCTGCCAGGCCAGTCTCTCAGCTCACTAGCTGGTTTGTACTCAGTGGTCTTGTCTCTTCTGCTGCAATTGTTTTTTGGTAACACTGATAATGTTATGAGAAAACTAACATCTTTCAAACACTGTGTTGCTTTTGAATCTTACCCATAATCTATATTAAAATGTCAACTAATTAGTATTTTTTAGCTGTGGCCAATGACCTAGTCCATCTCCAAAAAGAAACCTTTGAAATTTTAGAAGTTTTGTCATTTATTCTCATGATGTGCCTGTCTTTTCTCCTTGGATGTATGGCCAACGCTGGAACTCTTTCAATTTTATACCTTCACCTCCTTATCTTGAAAACAATTATCCTTCTACGGGTATGTTGTCAGGTCTTCACCCAACTTGTAGTCCGGCCTGTACTCTTGGTTCTGATCCTCCATATTCTCACCAGTTCTGCCAAGGTCCGTGTTCAGAGGCAAAGTTATATACAGCCATTAATCCCCATTTTAAGTGAAATTATAATGAGAATAGCCAAAGTTATGATAGTACATAGCCATGTTTTAAAAATAATCTATCATCAAAGGGAAAGGGAAGAAAATTTTATATCAACGAAAGGACAGAAAAACACATATTACATTTATACAAACCTAAAACATGTAAAATGATGCTTTCATTAGGGCAAGGATAAAGAAACAGCTAACATATTCTTTGTTATAATTTATCTCCCTGATATAAATAATATCTGTTATCATTTATTTCCCCATATAAATTTAAGAACATAGCAAATCAAAGCAAGGTTTGAAGAATACAGGATCAAGGGTAAAATGGCTGACATAAAAAATAGTGGATTAGGTAAATACTTCAAGTTCAGAAGGAGCAACAAAAGGAAAAGTACAAATTTAAGATGCACACTCATCTTGGAGATGATTAAGATGATAGAGATAACAAGTAAAAGTAAACTAGAATGATTAAAATACCACTATATAGCGTTATCATTGCCACTTTAAGTATTCCATGGGTAGATTTTTGTTGTTTTTAACCTACAGCTGATTTCACAGTTTATTACAAGGGTCAGCCAGATACAGCGCACAGACTAAGGCCCACTTCACATTGTTAAATGGTTAGTTGAAAAAAATCACCAGAAGAATAATGCTTCAAAAGAAGAAGAATGTTTCATGACACATAAAATCTAAATGGCATTCAAACTTCAGTATCCATAAAGTTTTATTGGAACACAACCACACTACGTGTGCATGTGCTATATGGCTATTCTGGGGCTCAAGTGGAAAAGTTGGGTACTAGCTACGGAGACCATATGGCCAGAAAAGCCTGAAATACTTAATATCTGGCCCTTTACAGAAGAAGTTTGCCAAACCAATTTTGCGACTAAAATAAGTTTTGTCTTATTTGATGAAGACCGTTTAACCAACTTATTTTGTAAGTATTCACTCCACAAAGCAATGGATACCTAAGTAATAACATAATACACAAGTGAATAAAACAACCCATTTCTCATACAGATTATCGTGTCACTTAATTACCAGTCTAGGCAAAAAACAGTCATTTCAGTGGCATTTGTGACAGGTGAACAATCTAGAAAACTTACCTGAAATATTTTATTGCCAGTATATTGACTCCTGTCTACTTCTCTGGAAATTTCTTTTTAAGGGACACAGTGAAATTGGTTTGGACATACAATGGGAAATATAAAATCCTCAGAAATCCTGAAAAGGGACAGAGAATAGTAAATGTTACGGGGTCTACAAAAAATGACTGTCATTTTTTTCAGCACATAAAAATATTGCTTCAGCCCTAACTGGGACCCCTAAAAATGACATGTATTTTTGGAACAAATTTATGATATATTGACTTTGACCCTGGTATGTAAAGGCCACACTGAAATAGTTCCTTCAGGAAATCTATTGTATTTACATAGGTCATTGATGTAGTCTGTAATTTCATTTAACCTTTTATAAATTAAAGAGCTTTTGTCATTGTTTACATATTCTTAAAACTTAGGAATTAAAACAACTACATGGTATATACATCATAGGTAAGCCCATGTATAAAAGTTTACACAAGGCAGGCCATGTCTATATTAACCAACAGGTTTTATGAAAATTTAGGAAGAATATCTTTTGCTAAACTAAATGTGAGACACTAATAAAATAAATCAACAAAATTACATAGGCATGAAGATGAGGTTTAAAAACTAATAGTCCAGGAAAGAGTTATGTGTTCTATCTTTTATGTATTTCAGTATTTATTTAATAAAAAATAATATTTATTGAGCCTGCATCCATCACATGCAACGGTGTGGCTAAGGAGATGGGCTGTAGTAGGAAAACCCCAAACCCATCTCTAACAAGCCAGGTATATTTAAGCAATGTAACTAACTAGGTTTTCCTTTCAGTTTAGTATTTTGGTTGTTTTATTTTTTTTTGCACTTTAGTTTTTCTACCTGGAAAGTAGGTGCAAAAATATGCCTATGCCACAAAGTTAACTGATACAAATGTTAGTTCATTGCTCTGATCATTTTACGCCAGGCCTTGTATGAAGAGTTCTAACGCAAGTGTGCACATTTATGAAACCTTCAACTAACCAGTCATCTTTAATCGCGTCTATGTGATCAAATACAACAACCATCAGCTGTCATAATGTGGGAATCTAGTGTAGCTGGTCAAAAGGCAACTTCTGACTGCACATTCCTGCTGTGTGAACTTCCCTGTCACTGTGGAGCTGGTCCCACAGCAAGACTGTGGGAGCCAGTACGGCTGTAACATTCCCTGAATGAGTTCCTGTTTGGGTCTGTAGTTGGCTGGAGGAGACTGGAGCACTCCCAGTGGTCACATCCATGGCCTTGCTGGGAATTTCCCTTGAACACAGGCATGACTTGGGCCTGGCAAATCAATCCAAAAGTCCCTGCCTGGGAACTTCATGTTGCTGGGTGAACAGCCATTTCTGAATACCTATTCCAATTGTCTGATTTCTCTGTTGTAACCCTGTTTGGAAATTTGGATCCCAACTATAGTAAATTACATAGCAAACTGCAAAATTTTGGCAAATTACCTTTCTGTCCAAAAGGCTTCTCGGGATTCATGAGACATTGCTCCTTTCTGAAGGTTCTGTGCCGTTCAGGTAGGAGGACTGTGGGAGCCACTGCCAGTGAAATCTGAAAATTTGATCTTGGTTGGGTATTAGTTGCTAAAGATGGATCCAGAGGAGTTCCCTGGACGCGTGAGAAAATCCCTAATCGATACCCTGAGGAAGGGGAGGTCAGACAAGGCTGAAGTGGCACCATCTTTTCCTCCAAAGAATGACTGTGATCTTTCCTAAGGGGGAGAGAATACAGTCTGTGTTCTCTTGAAGAGTTTAGATCATCTTCAGAGGCAACATCAGGGGCATGGAAGGAATGACTCAGAGGAGGTGAATTAAATGGAAAGTCCTCAGAATTCCTCCTAGAGAACCTTGGAACCAAGTCTCTTGTAAAGATTTCTGTACCAAGAACCCACATTCTCTTGGGGAGGGTTTCCTGGGTTTGCAGGCTATTGGCTAGCCAGCTCATCAAGCTGTGCTAAAGTTCAGAAAACAAAATAAGACTGTCCAAAAAGAAAAAGTTCCAAATTACTACACACACAATGCAAAATTAGATGTATAACCATTAAGTATAACCAACTTTATTCAATAATCTTTCATTATGTGTTTATGTACGCATAGGAAAACAAACCATCGAAACTTCCAAAGTTAGCCAACTTGGTTCCCTAAGAATTCCTTTAATATTATAAAACTCATGCAGTGGGTACTGCCCAGTCCTAGGCATGTGGCTCCACCATGTGGATGAGCCTCTGCAAATAATACTGACAATAATTTTAAAAAGAGAAGTTAGTTGTAGTGAAAATTAAGAGATCAGAGGTGAACCCCTCGTTTTATACATGAGAAAAGATAACTAGAGAGGTTAAGTGATTTACGCAGTCACTCCACCAAAAAGGGAAGAATCTGGGGGTTCTTTTTTAAAGTGGTTGCTTGAACTGATTAAATCTTATTGCTAATTCACCCATTCATCTATTTTAATGATTAAATAATCAGATTAAGCATGAACAGTGAGTATGTGGCTTATTTTTGTCTACCCCAAATCCAAGTCTCCTTCCTATTTGGTAGGAGGTCTGCTGTGCAGACATGGTGAACCAGGAAGCTGGAAGGAGCATTCATCCCCTCTCACTGCCCCGAAGGCTGAGATGCAGGCATGTCGCTTAAGTCTGGCCAGCAGGAAGCTCTGCGCAGGAACGTTGGATCTTAGGAAGTGACAGTACCAGGGGCAGTGAGGGGTGGTTCTGGAGGGAACAGAACAGTGAAGTGACAACGGTAGCATGTCTTCCTGTCAGCAGCAGTAAGGAGCCAGTGGTGGCACTGCTAATGGCAGTGTCCTAACAGGCTGGTCCTGATGTATGAGTTTAGCTACATTCTCTGCTTCCCAGTCTCTAATTCAGGCTCATTTTCTAAGTTTGTTTGTCCAACCCTCCTATGGGCTGAGCTAACCCATACTCTTCCAGTGGAGTCTTTTTCCGCTTAGGAGAACCACAGTTAGTTTCTGTTGTGCAACCAAGACCCCAATTTAAACAGAAGCTGTTAGCAGCAGAGAGTTGCAGCACAGAACCTCAGTGAAAATGGAAGAATCCAGGGCTTTTATTTTGCCTGTGTGAGAGTGAAGGAATGTAAGATCCTAATCATTTTAGGGTTGGAATTTAGATTTGCCTGATCCTCATATGCAAGAGTGAAACAGCTAATTATTTTCCTGCGGTCAGCAGGAATGAAATTCTCCTCCCCTCTGGCCGTCATGCTGTGTGATTGCCAAGAGAGGCCACACATGTAAGCTCTCCTGTTGTCAGGCCTAGTTCCCGACCCAGCCTAGCCTAGGTGCCAGGTGTGTGCATGAAGAGCCTGCAGGTGCTCTGGCCCGTAGCCATCAAGTCATCCCCAGGCTTTAAGCCTTCCTAGCTGAGCAGCAGACAGAGCAGAGCAAAGCCGTCCCCTCCCCAGTGTGCTGCCTGAGTTCCTTACCTACAGAGCCCATGATCAGAATAAAACAATTGATTGTTTTAAGATGCTAACTGGGAGGTTAATTTTTTCTTTTCTAATGCAGCAAAAATAATCAGGACAGACAGCTAACCAGTGGTTAATGGACTAGTTGGAAAGAGCAGAACTGGAGGGCTGTGGAGGGTGTTTGGGGAAAGGCTATTTGAAGGGATATGGCCTTTCAAGATGAGCCCAAAATGTGAGTATATTTCTCAGGAAGTCATGTGTTACCACAAGGCCTCTAGTGTGGATAAGATGACCCACTGAGCAGATAGAGGTCTACCTCCTTTTTCAGCAATGCCAGTGGCTTCATGAACCAGATGTTCACCATGGAGAGAATCAAGATTATGCACTGTTTCAACAACATGAAGC